CGGCGAAGGGTAGAAAGATGATGGGTAAGGGAATCATGCAAATGACTCCTAAAGTGAGGGAAGTCGAAGCTAGATCCGTAAGATGGGAAGCCAGGGCAACGCTACGGTCCCGATGCCTATGCGTATACCAAGGGAGAGCCCAACTCAGAGGAACCCGGCTAAAGGGAGACCACCATGCGACACAAGCAGGGTACTGTACAGGGTAGAGAGAGTGGCGACGTCTGAAGTAGGCAGAGCTGATCGTGATGAAGTCCATAAAGCTGCCGATGACGTCCACGATGAGAAGTCCGAAATGCCGTCGAAGAAGAGCCGCAGCGTCGACGAGCTGGAGTAGCAAAACTGATGTGGATGGAGTACTGAGAAGTCAAAGACGTGGGAAGGTAAGTCAGAGTCAATCGTCGTATCGAGCAGGACGACGACGAGTGCGCTGTGGATGCTCAGAAGCATTCGGCTGCTGCTGAAGGTCTGCCTCAGATGGAGCAGGCTCGACTTCAGCGGTCTCCTCAGCCGGAGGAGGAGGAGGGTCAGTGGGCTGAGGAGGAGCAGTGAACCCAGCACGACRAGCASGGTCATAGGCACGCACCAACATGCGAGCGTGCTGCAAGTGCTCGAGGGGCTCCCAGGTAGCCTCCTCATCAGGGTAACCCTTCCAACGTACGAGATACTCGACGTGGGGAGGGTTGTCGTCGGTGACTCGGCGACCAATGATGTATGAAACGAGGAACTCCTCGTGGCTGTCCACCATGAGGGGTGGAGGGCGCTCGTATGGTCGTCCAGCGAAACGCTCAGACGGTCTGCGGTAAGGACGCAGTAACGAGACGTGGTAGACATCATGCACATGAGTCTGACATAGGTAGTCAGACAGCTTCACACGAAAGCTGACCGGGCTAGATGTCGTATCAGAACCGACGGCCTGGAGGATGCGGCATGGGCCAAAGAAGCGACGCCGAAACTCGCGAAGCGTGTCCGCTTCGAGCTGTAAGTGGCGGGCGTCGATAAGCACATCATCACCGATTTTGAATGAATGATCCATCCTCAATCGGTTCGCACGTGCTGCCATGCGAGTCTGGGACGCGGCTATGTGCTCATGTGCGGTCTTCATGATCGACATCATGTGTGTCACCCAATCGTCCAGCGCGGGACAACTCGTGTCGGGGTGCAGCTGGGATGGTCGAAGGAAGTCCGCGGGAACACGAGGGTGATAGCCGAGGTCGCAATAGTAAGGCGACATCCCCGTGGCTGGCGAGACAGCGTGGTTGTAGGCTATCTCCGCGTGGGCAAGATGGAGATCCCACTGCTGGTCGTCACGAACAATCTTTATGAGAATATCTCCGATAGTCCTGTTTGTGATCTCGGTCTGACCATCAGTCTGAGGATGGTAAGACGAGGAGAAGCGGAGCTGAGTGTCGTACACCTCGTGGAGCCGTCGCCAGAATTGGCTGGTAAAGCGCGGGTCACGGTCAGATATGATGCTCAGAGGTAAGCCGTGGTCACGCACGACTCGGTCAAACACGATGTCGACGACCTCATGTGCACTGATAGCATAGCGGCACGGAACAAAGCGTGCACGCTTTGTGAAGCGGTCGACGACGACCAGGATAGCATCATGACCGCGAGGGGTCGGAGGACGAAGAGGACCGATAAAGTCCATCGAGATGGACTGCCAACGACCCTYAGGGATAGGAAGAGGCTGGAGCAAACCATAAGGCAGGTGGTTCGCACTGTTCACCTCCTGACACGTGGGACACTCTGCGACGTAGTCCTTCACAAAGTCATTGCGCTTCGGCCAGACGTATAGGCGGCTCACATGAGCCAACGTCTTGTGGAAGCCCATATGACCGGCAGTTGCCTGGTCATAGAACTCTGCTACTGCTCGGACACGTAGCTGTCCAGTGGAGGGAACGCAAATACGGGGCTCTCTTGTGCCCTGTGAACCGTGCCAGTACACAAGACCGTTGTCCCCGAGAGAGTAGTTCGGGACGGTCTTACCACTCCGAAGGGCTGCGTGGATGTCGCGATAGTCGGGGGAGTGGCGGTACTGAGTGCGAAACTCGTCGGTCACCGAGTGGTGGACAGTGGTGACCGAGATAGAAGAGAGTTGGATGTGCTCTTGGTCGTGGTCAGGGCACCGGGAGAGGGCATCTGCGACCCGATTAGTCCCACCCTTGATGTGCTCAGTGGTGAAACTAAACTCGGATAGGTCGCGCCACCAGCGAGCTTGTCGAGGAGTGAGCTTCAGCTTTGTCAGAAAAGCCTGGACAACATAGTTGTTCGTGCGCACCGTGAATGGTGCCCCGTGCAGGTAGTGACACCAGTGCCGAGCGGCATAAACTACTGCGAGAACCTCACGTTCATCAGCAGTGTAGTTTATCGCGGCGGGCAGGAGCTGACGGGAGTAGAAGGTTATCGGACAATCACCTGAGCGAGTCTCGACAGTGCTGTCCTCGGCGATGGTAGGAGGATAGTCAATAGAAGGCTCGACAGTAGCTGGACGAGTAGGCGTCAGTCGGGAAGCAGTGGTAGGGGTAGGTGGTGGGAAGCGAGGGATACGAGGATGAGATGAATCAGGAGAGGAGGGGAAGACCTGAGAAAGCACTGCTCCTACAGCAAAGTCTGACGCATCGGTGGTAAGGATAAAAGGGCGATCAAAATCGGGTAGGTGAAGAACCGGTGCACATATCACCGCCTTCTTGAGGGCGCGGAAGGCGTCCTCGTGGAGGGGTGTCCAAGCCCAGGGTGGGTTCTTCCGGAGGAGGGTGGAGGTAAGGACGTAGGAATACCTAGCGTATCCCCGGATGAAGTTGCTATAGTAGCTGGTCAGGCCTAGGAAGCTGCGAAGCTGCTTGGCGGATGTGGGAGCAGGCCACTCCGCAATAGCAGTGATCTTCGCGTCGTCCATGTGGAGACCCTGGTCAGACACGTAATGTCCTCAGAAGTCCACTTTGTGCTGGGCAAAGCGGCACTTGCTGAGCTTGGCATAGAAGCCATGTCTGCGCAAGCGGTCAAGGATATCGCGAAGGTGTCCGAGGTGCTCCTCAAGGGTACAACTGTAGACCAAGATATCGTCGAGGTAAACGAGAACGTATTGCTCCAGGATGTCCCTGAAGATGTCGTTCATCGCCCTCTGGAAGGTGGCGGGTGCCTTGGTGAGGCAGAATGGCATCACCGTAAACTCGTAGTGGCCGAAGCGCGATCGGAACGCGGTCTTCGGCTGGTCGGCTGCAGCGACGCGGATCTGATGGTAACCGCTACGAAGATCAATCTTCGTAAAGAAGCGGTTGCCTGCTAGGCAGTCGAACAGCTCATCGGAGCGAGGCATGGGGTAGCTGTTCTTAACCGTGTAGCGGTTGAGACCGCGATAGTCGATGCAGAGACGGAGAGTTTCATCCGCTTTGCGAGCAAAGAGGACGGGTGCACCCCACGGGGAGTTGCTGGGTTTAATGAAGACCAGTCTCAGGAGCTCCTCAAGCTGACGCTTGAGTTCGATGACCTCGGGATCGAGGGTCTATAGGGTGCCTGGTGGTGAACACGATAGTCAGGCACAAGCTGAATGGAGTGCTCGACGTCACGCATCGGTGGAATGCCGGCGTACGAGAACGACGATGGGAAAACGGCGTGGTACTCTCGGATGAGGTCACGAACTGCGGGCTCCAGGTCAGATGTATATCGTGCGAGTTCCTCAGCGTCAGCGTCAGCGCCCGACGGCGAGGTGGACTCGACGGACAGCGGAGGGACGGAAGTAGAGATGGGAGCCATGGAGATAGAGGGAGGATCTGGCTCCAGAGGGATGGACAGGGTGGATCATAGTGTAAGAGATCCGTCACGTCCACCATAAAGAAGGTGACGTCGTCCTGTCGAATGAAGTGAGCGAACTGCCGAGGCGAGGTGACAGTGATAGAGGGGGGTGGTGTGGGCACTGAAGGCTCCAGGGGAGGAGGATCGGGGCGTGGTGTCGCAGTGGTACCTATGAAAGGTACGCGATACATCTGTCCACACTTTGTTTTGAGAACGAGAGTGTTGGTCGCCCAATCGGCCTCGGTGCTGCGGAACCGACGAGACCACGGAGTGCCGAGAATGAAATCGTACTCCGTCTCCATCGCATCCAAATGTGCAGAGGAGCGGTGGCGACGAGACGCCGGGGAACGATCAGTCGGCTCGAGAGTGAGGAAGAAGGGGAGGTCGGTGACCGTCTGATCAAGAAGCGTTGGGTCTTGTCAACCCCTAGGGTAACGGAGATGGGAGTCGGAGACCCTGTCGTGGGTAAGCGGGCTTCCTTCACCTTGCGTGGGTGAATGAAGTCGCCCTGAGAACCGGAATCCCACAGCGCTGAGTACACCCTCGTGGAGGTCCCGAGTCGTACGGGGATGATCGGGAGGGTGCGATCAGGGTCAGAGAGGATGGCGAGAAGGCGACGCAGTGCAGCGACATGGAGGGTGAGTCGCTCCTGACGAGCCTGGAGCATGCTCAAGTCTAGAATAGAGGACACAACGTCCTTGCGAGTAGCAAGCTGCTCGCTGGAACGGGCTGAGCGAATGGCTCGACGCGTCAGTAGTCGCGGCGGGGAAGGAGGGGAGATGGTGGTCTGCGGAGGCGCAGACAGTACTGCGACAGAGGGCTGAGTACACTCTGTCGAGTCTTGCGATACCTCAACTCCAGTAGCGAGAGAGGCGAACTGCGACGGAGATGTCGGGAAGCCCACTACTGAGGAGGGCGCAGGTGTACACTGCACCGTGGCTAGGAGGCGCCGTGGGGACGTGAGGCGCCGGGGGGGGACTG